GAAAATAAAATGAGATCTCTTAATTAAATTCTTTATCGTTAAATCGTTCTTGATATATATATATATATATATATATATATATATATATATATATATATATATATATATATATATATATATATATATATATATATATTTACAAAGCGTTAAAAAAATCCTCCACAACTTGTTTATATGATCAGCTCTTCTTTTCTCACCCGCTGCCTGCTGCAGTTGTCGCCTTAATGGAGTTGATCCTGAGCCTGTTGGCGATGTTCCTGAGCGCCTGCAGCGTCTGCTGGTCCGGTTTGTGGTAGTCCTCCATCTGCCCCAATTTAGTTAGAAAGAAAAGCAGAGCTGGAGAGGCAGCACACACAAACTGGGATGAAACTGGGGAAAGAGTTAAAAGCTTCTGCTCAAGATGATGAAATATGGAAGATGATGGGAGCCCAAAGGACGATGGCAGGGGTTAAAAGGAGGCAGAGCTGTGCAGCATGAGAGGGAGGGAGGGAGGTAATGGCTCATCTGGAAGGCTGAACTTGGCTCAGCCCACCTATGTGCACTGCACATTGACTGGTTTGCAACATAAAATGACAAAATATATTAAGTATAAATAAGGTTTAAAAAAAAAAAGGGGCCAAGTCTGGAAAAGAGACTGGAGAATATACAAAAATAACTTATTAATGCAGAAGAAACATTTTTCTGTATTTTTTTAATAATAAATCATGAAACCAGTATTTACCGGAGTTGATCTATAGTTGTTACTGCATACTTATTTGATCTCCGTTCAACATTCAGAAAAGTTACCCGTGGCCGGCCTGCTATTTTTTCTCAGGCCGGCCATGAGAACTTCTTGCGTTTGTGTAATTTGGTACCAATTTTCTCTAAATCCTGTCACTTTAATGTCTAAGGTTGATCACCTCAGTCAGCAGTGAGTGGAAGGGAAAACCAATGAGAGTTAAGCATTTAAAACAAAAAAATGTATCATGTTTTATGTATTTCCATCTTATTTCCATAATAAATACTTAATGATACATTTTTGTTCACATCATGACCCAGATTTGACCTCTGGCCCAAAAAATGGGTATGGACTCTTCAGGCATGTTTCCTGTATGCCCGATGGTCAGCACAGCCCTCACACTGGTTTACCATTCATCAGACTTCAGAGGGGTCATGATGCCTGTCTGCAATGATCAACGGGTGAGATGAATAGGTCCACATCATGCATATCACCCCCATTATATTAATAAACTATGTGCATAATGTTTTTCAAAGAGGGTTTAAATAACAGTTAAATTGGATACATATAGTACTTTCTGAAATATGAAAAAGGCAAAAAAATAAATAAATAACACACACATACATACATATAAAGATATACTGTATATACATCTTCAGATACAATTCTTCTCTGTTAACAAACGTTTAATAAATTATAACTAGGCTGGTTGTCCTTTTACGGTTCCATGACAACTACACCTTTGTCATTTACTTAATCATATATAGTTACTTTAACAAAATTGTTTTATGTCCTACCCTACTAACATAAAAACAATGGTGTAACTAAATATGATTAAGTAAATGCCAAAAGCAGTTGCATTATTTTTTCCAGTGTATTAAATAAAGCGAGGCTGTATGCAGACTAATATTTGTAAAAGAATGGGTTTCTCTCAGAAGCTAAGGGAATTCCACCAAATATAATAGTATCTTGTGCAAAAACTCCAGTCTTGAGATTTTCTTGCTCCTAAATATCCCGTCCATCATCATGCGAAACCCATTTTGTGATATATGTATTGTGAAGCTACTGGAAACAACAGCAACTCTAAACTGTATACGTAAAAAGCGACAGATCAGGGACAGAGTTTGCCAACTTTCTGCAGAGGCAGTCACTCTAAACCTTATGGGGCTTTCAGATTAGGTCAAGAACAGTTGGTAGAGAGCTTCATAAGACAGATTGGTTCTGAATTGCAATACAAAGCTCAGAAGAAGTGATGCAAAGTTAGGTGAAGGGGGGATAATGTTGTGGGGGTGTTCTCATGGATTTGGGCTTCCATACTTCTAACATAGTGAGCCCAGTCTGAAGATGGCTCCTTCCTCTACCAATATGACTGTGCATCAGTGGACAAAGCAAGACGTGAAGGAGAGTTTGTTGTGGGTGAGCTTCTCCTCCTATGTCCCTCAATTAACTTACAAATTTGCTCCTGCTCAAAAATCCCCTAAATATGCTCCTAAACCTAAAGAACAGCAGACCATAAGAGCCAAAAGGCATAATGGTTGCAAAAAATGGACCAAGATAATAATAAACCCTTCAGATACAGAATAGGATGCAACTAACTACGCTGAGATCTACATAGTTCATCTATGATAGAACTAAAATGACAGAAGATCAAAGCTAATTAGATCATAATTCATACTTAAAGGGATAGTTCGGTATTTTTGACATGAATCTGTATGGCATCCCCATCACCAGTGTCATGCAATCACACTGACTTACCCCTGGCAGCGTCCTGTGAGCAGAGTTCTCGTCCAGTTTTGGTCAAGCCGAAAGTAGTCCGGCAGGTTTGCTAGACCCAGCGAAATAAAACGTTTCTCTTCCCAAAACATTATGTGTTCAAAAGAGTGATATTTTTGCATCCCAAAAACGTTGTAGTGGAAAAAGTCACACGTCGTTATTACTTGGTCCTATTTTCTCTCTGTTCGTATCAGTGCGCGCCGTCATTCAGACAGCTAGGGCCTACTAACCTGACAACAGCCAGATGCATGTCTCCCTCCGCCCAGCTAGGAGCTAGGCGGAGGGAGACATGCATCTGGCTGTTGTTGAGCTCGCTGTCTGAATGACGACGCGCACTGATACGAACAGAGAGAAAATAGGACCAAGTGATAACGACGTGTGACTTTTTCCACTACAACGTTTTTGGGATGCAAAAATATCGCTCTTTTGAACACATAATGTTTTGGGAAGAGAAACGTTTTATTTCGCTGGGTCTAGCAAACCTGCCGGACTACTTTCGGCTTGACCAAAACTGGACGAGAACTCTGCTCACAGGACGCTGCCAGGGGTAAGTCAGTGTGATTGCATGACACTGGTGATGGGGATGCCATACAGATTCATGTCAAAAATACCGAACTATCCCTTTAAGAATATTTACAATGGTGAATGGGGCCCCCTGGTGGTCAATATTGAGAAGTGCGTCATTTATAAAGTTCATGGTCCAACTGTTTTACACTACATTTATCTTTTTTTTTTAATCTTTACTTGCTTTTATTATGCCTTTACTTTCCTTCTATTTTACTCAACGAAAAGCAACTAAATTACAAATATACATGTATACAAATAAACTTCCCTTGTTTGGCAAAAAAAAAAAAAAAAAAAAAAACCTTCATAAAAACAACGGCGGTGGCTTTATCATGTGCAAAAATAAAACGGATTAATAAAAATCAACGACAATTTGGATAATCCAAATGTTACATAATTTTTCTAATCAAACAAAGAAGTAGCAGAAATAAACATGTAGGGGTTCAGATCTTTATTATCACAAAATATGTATGAAGTCACCTTATGCACAATGACAAACCTAAAAAAATATTCAATTTCCAATGAAGTAAAGAAGAAAAAAAAAAAATCATAACTCTGGCCTTTAAGATAAATAACACTCTTAAAATTTTAAATATGATACGCTTTTTTTTCATATTTCAATAATTTCCTGTTAAGCAATCATAAATGAATAGCATGAGAAATGCTCTTATTTGATCAAGATTCTCATAACGGAAACATCGATTGACATGTGATTTGTTCCAGGCTGCACATCCTAAACACTGTAACTTTGAACCTCATTGAAATCAAAACAAAAAAAGAAACGGCACTGAATCGCTCAGAGAGGATGCTGCAGGAACGTGAGGAAAAGAAAGACGAGATTAATACATTAGAGTCATGATGTCACAGCCAAGACAGGGTTTACAGCACCCTCCACATTCATTGGTTAAGACAGCTAAAACAACCATTTATAAAATGTTTGCTGTTAGAGTAAGGAATTTAACAACTGCTCTTCTCTAACAGTAAGCTTTAAATCCAATTGATCCCCAGTTTATTGTGGTCTATATAATTTGTTCAGCACCGATAAAACCCTTGAGTCCTCATCCTGCCTATAATTTTTTTTTCACTTTTTAGTTTTAAACTCAGGTAGGTTTAGGAGGAAAGATCTTTTCTTGCTACTTCCTGTCTGATCAATCCAAATCTTCCTGTCTTGAAAGTTATTTTTTCTTGTATTCTTATGATTTCTAAGGAAGTTTGTATCTTTTGAGTTTTTATTAATACCCCATTTTTAACTTAGGAAAAGGACACTAATCAATACAAGTGTAGAGGATTATAAAAGCCTTATGGGTTTTGCAGTAACTGTTGGTCAATAATAAGAATGGCACTTGTAATTTTGTAAAAGAAGAAAAAGAATTATACATTTAGTTTTTTCATTATTTAAAGTTAGGCTTAGGGGTGCCAATAAATGTATAGGGTGCTGTATGCAGCAGTTTATCTATTTTCCATTTATTCAAAAATATTTCAGATAAAAAAAAAAAAAAAAAGGCAAACAAAGGGAGTAAGAAAAAACAAAACCGCCTTTCACACAGTTTACAAAAATACCTTGTTTCACTGAGGGTTCTGTAAATACAGCCTACAAAAAGCTCCTGTTTGAAAGGTGTAAGGATCCTCTACATGTCTACCATGTTGTGACGTATAGAAATCCTTTCTGTATTAAAACAGATATGCAAAATAAAGTTGTTTGTGCCTTCGACATTGGATGTGCCCTTTCCTGCCTTAGCTGGCTCTGCAGGATTCAGCAGTAGATGTGCTGCAGTAGTATCTTACTGCAAGAAATAATAAAGAACCCAACTGAAATTTTTTTCCTTGAAACTTGCTGTAAACAATAAACCAAGGTAGTTTACATTTTATAATCCAAACTTTAACAGCTAGTTTAGCGAGGATAAATGAGTGAAAAAAGAAGAAAACTAATTTCCTTTTTTTTTCTTTTTTTAAGTATTTTGATTATTAATAGATTAATGTAAACAGGAATCCAGAATTTACACCAACCTGATTTTTTTTTTCATTTTGCACAAGATATTTAAATTCATAAAAATTTCTTCCTGTAGTACCGCCCTAAAGTATCCCACAGTGCTGGTGTGTATTGCACAAGTCCCTCCATGGAGATGAAGTACTGTGAGCTCAGCTGGTGGAGGAGACGCAACATTAAGAGTGAAAAATAAAGGATACAGGAACATTTGGAGGAAAGAATGGACGCAAATATGGGGGCTTTGTGTGATTAGAAATTTCTAATATATTCCACCTGTAACATAAAGAAATAGCTCACAGACTGATTTAGGTTTTAAGCCCCAAGTGGTTATTCATCAGAAAAGGCTTGAAAAGAAACCCTAAAATGCCACAAAAATTGAAAATAAATTAGAAAATATTTAACTAAAAATACACAAGCTTCTGTGTCACCTTCTGGTTTCCCAAATAAAAATAAACGTATTTCTTTTTAAAGGCGTGAGTGTTTTGTGTTGTTTTTCACAGGATCCCAAAGATGATGGTTTAACAATAAAAGGACCTTAATCCTGCAGCTTTTTGTCCATCTCTCCAAAATTCATGAAGTATTTAGTGCCACCAAATGTTTGCCATGTTCCTTCCTGTCCACCAATTCATTGGATTTCTTCAAAAAGGCGGCCATTGGTTGAAACCAGATTCAGCATATTTGGAAAGTATAGAGAAACATTCTCCCATCTGTTTTTCTCACAGTTCTTTACGGACACATTCAGGGCAATAGGAGATTCCAGTGCAGCCTTTCCCGTGATAATCCTCGGCACACAAACCAGCGGTGAGGAAAACTTGCGTGCAGAGCGTCACAAACCTTTCTCCTCCATTCTGTTTTCTCCCACAATCAGCTGCAGCCATAAAGAAGCTTTAGCTCTGAAATGCTTTCTGCTTGAAGTGGGACTACAGCTTCATGTTGCTGAAGTCCTTGGAAACGCTCTGCAGGTAGGCGACATGAATGGCACTGAGGAAGTCTGAGTCATTCTGGAGGAGGAAGTAAAAAAAAGTAGAATGATTGAAATTTGTAAAGAAAGTATGACGTATTTAAACAGGAACATTTTTGGTACCTCTTTGTTAAGATAAATCTAACTTTTATGCAATGATTTTCCACAATGAAAATTTTGAAAAATCCTACTTTTCATTTTTATTACTTCCCAATTCTTGAAACAAAAAAATAATGTTTTATTTTCTAACAAAGTACTTTTAATAGAAAAGAGTTGCAAAAATGCTCACGTTTAGGTTCTATTGACACCAAGATGGTCCTCTGGTCTGACTGATTCGGCTGCACTACAAACAGACTTTGTTTTTCTCGCTTTTCCATTTGGTACGATTGGTTTTCACAATGTTCTGTTAGTAACAGAGCTCCCAATGGATAGATAGGAATAGGAAAACTGACGTGGAAGTGGAGGAAAACAATCATAGAAGCCCTGCATGTTTCATCTCTATCCACCATATTGGTTTTGTTATTGAGGCTGCAAAAATCACCATAAGTGTAAAGAGCAGCGTTATCAGTGCAGGTTTCAGCATGTTCTATTTCAATGCTGCATCTGAAATGCTGCAACAAGAAAGACATGTTACCCTCCGCTTTCCTCGGCATGCTAGCAGCTGTGCTGCTAAGCAACAGGCTGTGGATTAGGTATAACTTATACGAGTATGCAATGGGCCTGCTACGGTAGCCTGCCAAGTCCAAAACAGATGTAGGTTTTCAGCAGCTGTGTCAGAGACCAGTTCCATTTTCACACAAGATGCAAATGGCACCAAAGTCCGTTATGAAAATGGGTTTTGGTACGACTGTTTAGTCAGAACCAGGGTTTAGTTGAGCGTATGAACACCTGCACAGACGGTTCCAAACATGGTACATGTGCACACATCCCCGGGTCTTATTCAACTAGTTCCTGGTAACATTCTGGTAGGGTTCATGTTTGCAGAGGAATGAAAATGTATGGATTCTTGAATTAAAACTTCAAGAAAAGTAAAAAGCATATTTTCTTCCAAAGGGTTTTTAGGGACATTAATAATTGTGACAACTTGGATTTAAAATTTAGTTTAAAAATATATATATAAAAATACAGTTCCCAGCTGATTACATATACCCATTAAAAGGCCAATTTTTAGAAAATTCTCAACACCAGATCAGGCTACTGCAATAAACATCATTACACATCATTACAAGAGATGCCAAAAAGCTTGGTAAGCACTATAAAATAAACAGGCATTTATTGTAATCTCATCTGGAAACATAATATAGTTTAAAGATTAGCTCCAACCTGGATAACTGTACCTTTATGAGGTGTATCAAAGTCTCCTGCAGCTGTGTTTTACTGCAGGGGGCCTGCAGAGGGTCTGCAGCTCTTCCTGAAGCAGATGATAGATCCGGAGGAGCTGAAGGGATCACTGGGACTGTGGTGGTTTTATTAATAGTCTGTTGGAAAACACTAGGCGACAGTAGCACTGAAGTTTCTGAGCCAGGAACAGCATGACCAGGGCTCATAGGAATAGCCTGAGTATTAAAGAACAGGAATATGGTGGTTTAGAAACCAAAAGTAACATAGCTTTAGTTACTGGAGACAAACTGCAAACAAAGCTGAACTCACAGAGATTGGTGGGATCAGACTCGGAGGCTGAGAGAAGACATCCTTCTTGGGCTCCTGGAAGCTGTGAGGAGGAACCAGAGTGCTTGGCAGGAAGCTGGGGGCAAGGATGGGTTTGTGGATTCCTGAATTCACAGATGATGCCGCTGCTTTCAGAGGGCTAACCATGTCTTGTCCTAGAAAGGCTGCTGAAGATGCTGTGGGTGAAGTGAGGGTATTTTGATGCTCTGAAGCCATCAGAAGAGGAGAGACGGAGCAGTGAGGCTGTGGGTCGGGCATCGGAACCACAGATTTGAAGACAGGACTGGGATTAAGTGTGTAAGGGGCAGGAATTGAACCGTGTCTGTGAGGCTGCTGGCTGGAGGCAGCCTCATGGGTTGAGAATTGCTGCGCGAGCAGCGGACTTTGGTGAGGAGCAGCGGGATATGATTGTTTCTGCACATAGGTGTTTGGGAGGTCACTGGAAGAAGTGGCGTTCTGTGCAGAAGATTCTTTAGGGAGCTGAGAACCAAAGAGCTCCTCAACAGTGATCTGCTTCACCATGGTATGAGAGCTCTGGGTGGGGAGAAGTGGAATATTAGCTACTTATTTACTTAAAAATCACAAAACAAATAAAACTTACATTTTCTCAGGTAACAAAAAAAATTATAAAAATTATATACGAGACAAAAACAGTCTTAATAGTGACTTGAAAAAGAAATGTGTAGCTTACACTGCTGCTATAAAAACCCCACTAATCAGCGCATTTCAGCACAGACAGAGGTTATGCTGAAACTTTTAGAATTACAACCGAATTAAGCAGATACCCTGAGTTTTAGAGAGCGCAACGGCCATGGAATTAAAAGACATGTACCGCCTTACTTGGAGAAATATCACATCACTTTATAATCGGGAGAAGATAGATGGCTGGATAATAAATAACCAGGACGCCACATTAGGTTATGGAGTCACATTTTATCCTTAACTAATTATTAAAATTTAACACAAAATAGGATCATGCAGCAAAACTCAGCATGTTTGATTGAAACCATTTAATTGAACCAGAATTCATGTGAGATTCTTCTTCTCTTTCACATCAAAGGCGCTATGAGTGGTTTCAATATTTAAACCTATTTTCTCACCAAATCTTTTGCAGCCTCTCAGGCATCAGGGTCAAACCAAAAGGTTCAGAAGCTTTGATATCTGCCCTAAATGAATCAGTGTTCAAATCCTCTCATCTCTATCTGTTGTTTTATTTTCAAATCAAGATAAGATGAAACTACGAAATTGAGAGTAAAATTATGTTATCATTTTTTGTATCAGTTGGACTTTAGTTTTTTTTCTCTTTTTAACTTAATTCTACTCTTTATTTCAAATAATTGCATTCAATAATTAATCACGTTTTCATAAAGCTCTCCAAAAATACTGCTTTTAGTTAACAACGTAACTATGACTGGTAAATAATATTGGTTTTGCCAAATGCAAATAAAAGGCTACCTTTTCAGCTGGATGTGTGTTGGGTCCAGGTTCTGGAGCTTTGCTAATGCTTGTTTTTACGTTGGACTCTGCAGACGCGTCTGTTTCTCCACTCTGGGCCTTCAAAGCACAGAGACATGTTTAGGATTAATGGGAAAACTTGAGCTCAGGAAAAAAAAAAAGTGGTTTCAAAATCGATTTATGGTGAGTTTGCACCACCAGTCCACATGCTAAACCATTTCTGCTGTCAAAAACTTAAGACCAATAAGAACATTTTATTAAGTCAAACATTTTTAAAACAGTAGTGTTTTTGTATGGTGGTGTTAAAATCTATCGTATAAATGATAATATAGCTAACATAATGAAGGCAAAGCTGGTTTCGTACACTGCCAATGATGCACTCTGTGCTAAAACCCACAATCAAGAAGCTGCTTTTTTTAATTTTCCTCCACATCAGTCTCAAAATGCCCAACCTCTGTTCCAAATAAATGTAAGATGTAGGTCAGAGAAGTTAGGGAAAAATATGTTCTCACACCACCAGAGTTTAACTGTAGATAGATTAAAAAAAACGTTGGTCCAGAGCGGTTGTAGCTATGCGGGAAAAAACATTATTTAAACTTGATTATATCCAAACAAAGATTTCCTGAGCTTGCAATTTTTTAACAGAATCAAAAAGGTCATGATATATTTTTTATACATTTCCACAGGTCTGGCTTTAAATTTCGAGCTGGATTATATTTATTTTTTAGGACTGAATGACAGATGTCAATTAATGCATAAATGGTTGGCCAGACGGACTCATCGATGGCTGGATTAATGATCCAATAGATGAATGGATGGTGGACTGAAGCAGCAGGACTGGGCTTAGATGCAGGGATTGATAGATGATAAACAGGTGGATGGATTCATTTTAATGTATCTGATATCAGATTCATAAAAAAAAAAATCAGACTGTTAAGACAGAAATAGGAGATCCTTTTATTTATATTTTACAGATTCCCAACCTTTTAAAACAGTTTAGAGGTCATTTTGATGCTGTTGCCACCTACTGGTTGTCATTAGCCATTACATCTATTTTGTCTGCCTAATAAGCAGACCTTGATGAGTAAAAAAAAAAAAATCCAGGGATGGATATGCCTAAAATAATCCCAGACTAATTATTAAGTAACACTGGAACACGTTTTAGTCAGACCTATCACCTTTTTGAAAAATTAAGTGTTTGTTTCAGTGAAAAGGAACACTCTGTTCAACATTTACTGTTGTAAAGATGTATGTCTTCACGAGTTTGCAATAAATATATGATCATCTTAAGACGCGCAGTAACGGTGAGATAAAGAGTTCTCCCTCACCCTCTGGTACTCCTCCTTGGCTTTACTGAGCAGCTCCAGGATGTCGATTGGTCTGGGTTCTGCCACTCCATTGGTTCTCCCTGGATCTACCCTCTCTGGACTCTGTCTCAGGGCGTGGTCCGCTTCTTGCTTCACAATCCTGGAGAACAAGATGAAGCAGGGACTATATAGGTGCATGTCTGATCAAAATTATACTAAAACTTCATTTATAATTTTTATTAACCTTTTAATAAATTATTTATCAATTTATTCTTTAGCAGAGATTTAATTAACTGTGTGAAACATACGCAGATTTAATACATACAGTTTGATTTAATGTTAATTTATCTAGTGTTGAATTAAAACCCAAATTTCAGCTTCTCTGAAAATGTAATTACAACATCAGACCAATGATAAGGGTTTTTAAAAGAAAATATCTTGCTAAAAATCGCGTCCCATGACTGTATCTTCTATAAACTCAAAGCTTTGTTGGGGCTTGTATGAATGACTGCATGAGCTCTGCTTATGGAGTCGCAGGCTGTTTAAATGGCCAATGGACTGTCTGCATTGCTCTCGCTGCTACATATTACTTTGGTCCACCAATAGCCTTTAGGTCAGGTGTGTCTTTCCTGGCAGATGAAACACAACGACACTAGGATCACTGAATGAATGGTCCATGCATTCACATTAAACTCTGATCTAGAAATGATTGAGTAATTTCCCTGTGCATACAGTCACATATGCACGTATGGGTATAATTAAACTAGTAAATTAAGAACTGATGTAATGATAAGCTATTGCTTCTTTCTACTCCCTTTCACACATCCTGAGATATGTTTATAACATCTTTTCTGTTTTATGAAATTAACTTTATTTTTTGTAAATGCTGCATATGTGTATATATACATATATATATATATATATATATATATATACATATATATATATATATATATATATATATACACATATACAGAATATACAAAAAAAA